TAGGGGGAAAGAAAACTGGAAGACAAATGCCGGACACGTGCAGCACCTTTGCTCCAAGTCATATTTGGACCAAGCTCTATTCTGACCCACAAATTTCACTCAATATCAACAAACACACCAAGCTTGTCTGATCACATTGTGCCAGTATATTAATTTGTATGGAATTAAAAACAATGTGCCAGAAACTATTAAATTACTGTGTGAATGGCAAAGCCAAAGTATTCTCCAGGCATGGCTTTGATTTTCTTATGATCAAAATAGTTTTGAAAAACTTCAAACAGTAGGAATGTTTCACATATTGCAAGCCTTGTACTTGAGCAAGACGGGCTGATAAGATGGCTGAATAGCATGTGGTTTTCTTCTGACCTGGAACAGTTTTCAAGTTGTTCATCAAATCGCTGTTGTCTGTGGCTATCTTCTAGGCTCACTCCCTTTGAAAGTAGAGCATATTGGGCTAAATCTAAGATTGTTGCCAATACCTATTTCATATAATTAACTTAGATATTTTACAACGCTAGATGAAAAAGATTTCGACTTCCAAATGTGTTTGCTCTTAACTCATTCACTTCCATGTAAACAATATACTAAACGCACTGCAGAAAATGCGAGGCTTATTATTTGTTAATGTTATTGCTAATATGGGGGATCATGGAGGGCTTCAGAAACCTAAGGTACAAGTTGTTTGGAAGTACCACGTTAATAAAGTTCGGCACAAGAACTTGGTCATAATTGAAATAAATGTGGCGATTTTCCAACACACACACGCAACTTTGAGTGTAGTTACTGGATTTGGGATCAGTCTTGCATGGGGTGGTGCTGGGGTGGGAAATATTACAGCAGCCACTTCAGCAAAGCCTTTAACATGATGAAATGTGTTCCTAAAAAGTGAGGGTGTAGCATTGAAGAAATATTTTAGGTAGCGGCGGGTTAATCCCAGCAGCTCATAAATCATTGTGTCCAGTCAAGAACATGCTCATTACAGTCTGCAATGATCCCTATATGCTCCAATACTCCTCTCAGACAGATATTTATCCAGCTCATTTTTTCCTTGAAGGCATCGACACAGCATCGGGTGCTTTTCTCAGATGCCTGTTCAGCATATTAACTGCTCTGTGGAGAGAGAAATATTTTCAGCTCTCGTGCCCAAATTGAGGCTTCTTCATTTTAAACTTGTGGGCCTTTAGTCCTGCTCTCACTGTGCAAGTGAATTCGCTATTTGTGCCTCATTATTTAACGGCATGGATGATTGCCTCACCGCCTCTAATGATCTCTGATTACCTAATCAGTACAGGCTACAAGCAAGCCGACCTGGGTTCGTTTCCCGGCAAGGCGAAACACAGGGTAAGTTTCCTCACTCCACACGCCTCTGTTTACCTAGTAGTAAATAAGAACCCGTTTTATAGTTGATTGGCGGATCGCTTTTCTGGGGGAAATAATTCCTTCAAAAAAATAAAAAATTGGTCACTGAATCAGAGACTGTTTGTAAGATATTGCTGTGTGCAATTGGCTGCCGCGTTTCACCCACAAAATATACAGTCAATCCACTTTACAATATATTCTGAGAAGTGCTTTGAGACATCTTGAAGAAGTGATAAAGCACTATATCAAATAAAAGGAGTAACATAACATAACATGTAGGAGCAGGAGTAGGCCATTCAACCCTTCGAGCCTGCCCCGCCATTCAATCATGGCTGATCTTCTAATCTAACTCCAGCTAATAACCTGACCCTACCTTATCCCCATATCCCTTAATCCCTGTTGCAATAAGAAATCTATCTCAGTCTTGAATATGTTCAAGGACTGAGCATCAACAGCCCTTTGGGGTAGTGAGTTCCATACATTCACCACCCTTTGAGTGAAGAAGTTCTTCCTCAACTCAGTGCGAAAGGGTTGGCCTCCGATGTTAAGGTTGTGACCCCTGGTTTTAGTTTCTCCAACCAGGGGAAACAATCTCCCACTATCTACTCTATCATGCCCTTTAATGATCTTATAGGTTTCTATAAGATCCCCTCTAATTCTTCTATATTCTAGAGAATATAGGCCCAAATTGGTTAGCCTATCCTCGTAACTCATCCCCTTCATCCCTGGTACCAACCTAATAAATCTACGCTGCACCCCCTCCAAGGCAAGTACATCCTTCCTTAAATAAGGAGACCAAAACTGCACACAGTATTCCAGGTGTGGTCTCACCAGAGCCCTATACAGTTGCATCAAGACTTCCCTACTCTTATACTCTAATCCTTTCATAATGAATGCTAACATACCGTTCGCCTTCCTAATTGCTTGCTGCACCTGCAGACTAACTTTCTTTATTATTTTTTATTTCCACCCATATTGTCTCGACCTCCTGGTCATCGGATTTCAGATCCTTCCTCTCCACTGCTTTTATTTCATCCCTAATTAACAGGGTTACCCCCCCACCTCTTTTCCCACCATGCCTATTTTTCCTGTAAACTGAGAACCCTGGAATATTTAACTCCCACCCTACATCTCCTTGTAACCATGTTTCAGTGATGGCTACTAGATCGTACCCATATGTGTCTATCTGTGCTTTTAATTCATCAGCTTTATTCCGAATGCTTCGCGCATTCAGATATAACATTTTTAATTTCCTACCATTTCCTCTACTCTCTGATTCCTTATCTACTTTGCCAAGCTTCTTACCCCTCGTTAACATATTCCTATTATCTGGCATGCTATTCCGCACTGTCATCTTTACTTTTTCTAATGCTAACATATGGTTTCTTTTACCTATATACTCCCCCCCCACCCCTTTACTAGTTTAAATTCCTATTTATTTCCCTGTTAACTCGTTTAGCTAGGACAGTTGTCCCAGCCCGACTTAAATGCAGCCCATTTCTCTGAAAGTGCTCTCTTTTCCTCCAATACTCGTGCCAATGGCCCATAAAAAGAAATCCCTGAGTTCCGCACCACTCTTTTAGCCATGTGTTCAAGTCCGTAATTTGTTTGTTCCTGTACCAATTGTCGTATGGCACAGGCAGTAGTCCCAATATTACCACCTTCGATGATCTTGACTTCAATTTGGACCCCAGCTCTTCGAATTCCCTTCTCAAGTCATCTTGGCCAACTCTGCCGATGTCATTGGTACCTATGTGAAGTACCACCAATGGATCCTTGCCCTCGTACTTTAAATTATTCTCTAGCCCTACCGAGACATCCTTCACCCCGGTCCCAGGGAGGCAAACAAAGTCTTCTGGTTGGTGTTGCAGATGATTGCGTCTGTCTGTCTAATAGTCTCATCCTCAATGACGACAAACATCCGCTTGTTTGCACCAGTGTTTTTCCTTCCACTTCACTGGCTTCCTTGTCGATACAAGTTCCAAGGATCTCATACCTGTTGCTCAAGGTAATTATTATTTTTATTATTATTACATCGAATCTCTAATGATGAAATGGTCAATCACTGGCCTGAGCTACTGCCAGTCATCACTGGTTGGTCATGAGGATACGATTGTCAGCCCTTGCATTCACAGCTAAAGGAAACTGGATTCTTGTTCATAAGCAGGTTCCTACTCGTAAGGTGCGTGCAGGCAAAGACAGGCATTGCGATAACCTAAAAAAAATCCCCATAGTCAGATAACTTGGGATTCACAGTTCGAGTTCTCACATGAAAAAGCTCCTCAAGAATGAGACACTGGAGGGCTGCCAGCAACCAAAATTATAATAAAATAATATTATTAACCTTGGAACCATTGCAAAAATCATGGTCTACAGCAGTTGCAGCCAACAAAATAAACTCTTGTGATTGAATATTTCTTGATTTATGGCACAAATCAAGAAATATTCAATCAAGAAAAAAAACTGAAAAAACTACTGATCTAACACGGACTTACCTAGACTTGTGCGAATGTTGGGGATGCTGATTCTTCACAGCCCTGTGGGCCACTTCTGGCCCACAGGCCACAGCTTGGCCATCACTGGTCTACAGGAAGGGAAATTGAACAAAATACCATTCAGCATTATGGGCTGTTGCAACAATAATTACTTTTGACGTGGTGATATGCTGCTCAAGCTTTATGCTGCATAGGCATCTTGTGATTATTTTTATTTGCATTCAGTACAAATTATTCATGCCACTACCTGGTTCTACAACTGAAAATCCAGGCTCACTGTATATTCATATTCTCCAGTACAGCTATTTTATGATATTAATAACAATAACCTGTGCTTTTTATATATCTTCTTATCATGTCGTCAAGACTCTCAAAGTGCATGACAGGATTTTACTGTAAAGTGTAGTGACTATGTATTTTGTAGTTGAACAATTTACAACAGCCAATTTGCACATAACAATGTCCCATAAACAGCCATGAATAAATTACCAATTTTATTTGTCGGATTCTTGCCTGAGATTTAGGGAGAACCTGCCTTCTCTTTTCAAATAGTGCCCCAGGATCATTAGTGTCCATCTAAACAGGAAGACAGGACCCTGATTTATTGTCTTATGCAAAGGACGGCATTTCCAACAATACAGCCCATTCCCAGCATTGCACTGGGATGTCATCTTAGTCTGAGTTCAAAGACCCAATGTGGGGCTTGAACTCACAAACTTCTGACTTGAAGGTGAGAGTGTTATCGATTGAGCCAAACTGACACCTGGGACTTTCTCTTCAGTTTTAATAGTTTCTCTAAACAGTACATTGTTCGAATATCAACTGCTAATAAAGTAAGTTAACAACAGTAAATAATTATTGTATTTGATAAAGGGCCTTATCAGATTGCTGAAATCTTTTAAAGTGTTTCACGATTTACTGTAATTTGATAATTAAGTGCTAGTCTATCTGATCCCAAATTAACATGTTCAGATTGGAATCGCTCAATTCTGTTCTAAATGAAAAGGACAACTCATCCACTTACCATTTGATGCTTGACACAGTGGATCATTTAGGTTTATACACCCTACTCAATTCCACTCCGATGTTACACTGAATTATCCACAGCAAGTGTGGAAAAACAGAGATTCATTATCATTCAAAAGATATATTTGAAAACTACATTTTATTTTTGAACTCACAAATAAAAGTGATCAGACAAAGCCTCTGAAGGTGAATAAACAGAATGAGTTGGTCTACATTTAAAAAAACATACTGTAAATTAAATGCAAATTTTACAACCGGTAGACATTGCAAAGCTATACAAATATTATAAAGGTCTGTGTTCCTTCATCTTTCAAAACTATGTGAGTATTTTTTGTGTCTGTATAATAATACTTTTTGGTCCAGCACATTTTTAAATTTGTCTTTAAATGTACCAGATGCTGGTGCAAATACTGGATTAATTGTAAACCTACACAATTTTTTTGTGTTGGGAGTGGATTAATAGAAGCATAAAGTATTTTTGTAAACTCGCCAACTTTTTTGATCCAACATTTATCTGAGATAAACAAATATATTCATCGCTATTTGGATTGTTTAGTCGCAGTTGCAGCGAAAGAAGGAAGGAACACATTTGTTTACACGTCAGCTTTATTCATGTAAAAGTAACTTTGTATATGGTGTTAAAATCTAAGACAAACATTGACTATACAGTTGCTTATTGAGAAACACAATTTATTTTACGATTAAAAAACAGACGGAATTAAGAAACAGACGAATAAAAAGTCACGTATAACATAAACGTGGTACACTATACCACCCTCAATATATAAATTGCATAAGTCAAATACTGCTAAATATAACGAAAAAATGTTACTGATAAATACTTTGTTTTAAAGCATTAAGGTGTACCATAGAGTGACTAATCTTCAAATGAAAAATGCTATTTGATATATGTTCAGTTAGAAATAGGAAGACTTGTTAGATTCTCCATGTTGCGAAGAGAGTTATATGAAATACTGGTAAAGCATGCAGATATTTGCTTACAATAATCTGTGGAAGCGAGAGCTAAATACTGTTCTCTTGTTGAAGAAAGGCTCTTATTCAGTGAGTAACACCAGACTTAGGAGTGATTCACACTGCATTCTGCATCTCTTCATTTAACACAATTCTCTTACACAGTACTCAACAGCAAGCAATACAGATCTGCATTACATTTCAGATGAAGTACACTTAAGATACATTTCATTGATAAAGTATGCCATCTGGGAAGACCACAAGTAACTGCAGTTACCACTAGAACTCCTCATGAGATAGCTTCCAATATTTGGAATTGATTTGCGCCATTGGATTTGGCATGTTTAAAAACCCAGTGAATGAACAGTTAGAGAAATGTTGCCACTGGAAACGATTTGCGTGGAAGCTGTTCCCCAATTTTAGGTAACCTTTCCCACAAAATCAAAACACCAATGTGGAGGATTTGACATGCACCGATCACTTAAACCAGCCACCTTCCAGTTCTATGTCGATTGTGGGATTTCCTCTTTCTTAACGTTGAAGGAAAAGACATTGTTTTTAAACAATTGGCAAGTCATGCTTCCTCTTGTTGATAATTAACTTATAGCATTCCAAGAAACAGTTAACATTCCCATACATCGATGAGTAAACCTAACTAGTCTCTTTCTAGTGTTTTTTTTTAGCAGCAACATATAATCCAGTTATATCATCTGACCAAGCAGAGCATAAAATATAGCCACAAGGAATTTTTTTTAAAAATCAAAATAATTTCACACCCAAGTACCATATTCAGTACAGTACTGAGAAAAAAATGTTTAAAAATTAAACTCGTGGAGACAGTGAGGGAGGTATAGATATCTAAAAATAAGAATTTTAGCTCACACCAATACCAGCGGGATATTTTTGCCGTCAAATTGCATTTTGTTTGGGTGGCACTCTTAAAAAAATTCTAAAATCGTCTTCGGTTATTTTACATCGTTGCAGTAGGGAATGTTTGATATTGGAGAAAACTGGGTCATGACACTGTGAGGAGAAGCTCTTACACCGTGAACCAATTCATTAAAACAATGCACGAATAGATGAAAATGCTCAGCCAAAACCTTATTTGAAATTGAAGCGTGGTGTGGTGCTGCCACGTTTTTGCAGGTAAACAAACATGAACGCAATTCAAAAATGCAATAACACAAGGGACAGATAAAGTACTGCCCTCTTTAGATGATCAAGTGCAATCCAAAACCATGTGATTTCTTGAATCTTCAGTGCTTTCTGCACATTCTCCTTCATCTTCCCAAAGTGTGTAGCAATAAAACACAAGCAGAATCAAGTCCAAGCAAATCCCATATGAGAAAGGCATTACCAAATAACATGGAGAATTTTTTTTTTTTTTTGGCACTTCACTGGTTCTATTTTTTGTTCAAAAGTGATTTTGTGATCCAAACGTGAAAACAAAATTCAGTTCCTTAATATCAGCATCTGCTGTCCAGAGGGTCAAGAGAGAACACAGTGCCTTCTAGAGTTAGTCCCATTTTGAACCCCTCCTGGGGAATGGAAAGTAAGAAGACGCGTTAAAATAGCAGCATATACAGTACCTGGGTTCTTTCACATGAAGTCACATGCATGCAGACAACACTTCAAAACCGCAGAGGAGCCACATGTTTCATTATGAGCGATGGCTTACAATGGGAGAAATGTTTCAGTTGTCAGATTTATGCATCCCATCTGTGAAAAGACCTATTCTCGAGAACAAAAGACATGGGAATCTAAATATGAACAGCAAATAAAGCAAGTATGACACAATTCATTCATCCAGTGTCTTTGTACCTTTGTTATAATATTAGTTTACGAAAACCATGTGCAGTGGTGATATTGGCAACAAATGTGCTACGGAGTGGAGTTTTTACATGATTTTTCAATGGCTAAGGAGATATCAATCAAAGCACCTTTAGTATAGGTTGTGCTGCATGAGAAGGTAATGCAGCACTTATTTATAAACGTTTCTTGCGTGTGGATCAAGTGCTACCTTCTGATATTGCTTCTTTACAAACTAATCCTGTGGCTCAGTGGTTAGAGCACTCGCTTTGCAAGTGAGAGACCTGAGTTCATTTCCAGGCAGAGGGCGAAGTCTTGGGCAAGTTTCCTTACTCCACACAGAGCCTAATAATAATCCCTCCAAAAACCCAAAACAATAATAAATTGGTCATTTTCAATCCACGACTGTTTGTGGGACATTGCTGTGCGCAATTGGCTGCCACGTTCACCCACAAATATACAGTCAATTCACTTTACAGTGTGTTCTGTGAAGCGCTTTGGGATGTCCTCCTGACATGAAAAGCGCTATATCAAATGCAAGGATTATTATTATTATTATTAATCTTCATCTATGCTGCTCGTACACTTGAGTTAAAAATAGTTGTGTCTGGTGCAACTAAATGCATTTTATTACAAATTGTAAATATCAGAACAGCCAGTGAATGTGCAAAGAAAGATGGTTAAATGACAAGTCCACAAAGTAGACAGATTACTTCAAAGCTAGGAAGTTCTATTTTGGTCATTACGGACTCATTACTCACTGGCTTAGTTCCTTGGGCGAGAAGAGATAAAATTTATATAATCCACAGAATATATCCAGTGTTACCCACTTGCAAATTCTACCTTTGGCATATATCTTTAAAGCCAGTTTAAGTCTAATTTAAGTCTAATTTAAATGGACTGAGCTACAAGGTCTAAAATTCCTTATTCTTTGCATAGTGCCATCTTGTGGCTTCATAAAGGAAGCCATCAAATAGTCAGGCTCAAAGTTGGAATAAACATCACTTTATTAATTATTTTAAATATAGTATAATAGTGAATATAGAATATGGGTTTACTTTACACGATTGTAAAGTTACACTGGGGTTTCCGAACAGAATAGTCTGAATGTTCCACTGTTACACAGTTTTACAGTATTACCACTTTCTTTGTCTAATACTTTTCCCCTTAGAGGAATTATTAGATGTGAAGGACAAAGCTCACAATTTAATAGGACGTTTTATTGGTAGAGTGAATACAGCAGCTATCACAATAAAGTGAAACTATACTGCTGCAACAAAATAGTGGTTGTTTGCGGCAAACAAATAGGACATTCTAGGATGATTCTTCCTGTGAGGTCCTCTTAAAATCAGCCCACAATATTTTCAGTACTTAAAAAGTTGACAAAGCTCCACCATCATCATTGTAGCAAAGACATTAAACATATAGACAGCGACACAACTAGAATCACACGCACACATTACACATTATATTCACTTCACACAATACCCACAAATGATGAGAAATAGAAAGTACCAACCATCGCTGACGCTGCCAGGCAGATAGGGTAAGCAAAGAAAAAGAGGATAAAGTATTACAAGACAGCCAGCAAGATCATGTCCATTCCTTAGGGTATAGGATGCAATTCTAATCAAATGGCCATAGTAAATACCTTGCAAACACCCCGTAGCTTTAATGTGGATTTGCTTATAGTGCTGAGGTCAGCACTATGCTGACAACCCAAAGGTCAGCTATTTCTCAGCAATGCTGCCCCTTCCATTAGTTTGGGTCCACAGTAGACGCATGCAGTTAGTGAGGCAGCATTCTCTCAAAGGGTTCTCCTGTACCTTAAATATCGTAGATTAGACCCGTTTACCTAGCGTAACTGTATGTATGATTCACACCCATCACAGACTGAGCAGGTGAATGGATTTGCATATGTACTGCACCCACCATTCTTTAGTTCCCTTAAGATCACATTGCAAAACTTTGTTCTCATTCATGTTGAAGAAAAATTGTAGAGAAATGTAAACTAAAAATTCTAAATATTCACCTGCATTTCATCCAATTTGGACTGGATGTCTGGTGGGAAGTCTCCTCCGCCCGAGATAAAAGGATCAAATGGTTCAGCGCCAAAGACGTCTCTTCCTGAAAGGAGTATCAAAACATATTTGTTCTCTTCGAAAAAATATTGAACACAGAAAATTCCTAACCACCCTTATTTTATTTCATTGTGAATTACATTTTTTTTTAATATATGGATAACCAAAGACTTAACTTCAGAAAAAATTGTGGGTTTTTTGTGCACGGAGGAGATTAATAATGAATTACATTATTCTTTGTAGATTGCCTTGACTTAAACCATGAAAGATAAATTCTTTAGTTACATATTTTACATGTGGAACCATTTTTAATCAAAGTGGAACGATTAAAAATACTACCCAAAAGTTATTCAACTTAAAGTTGTGTTAAAAGGCCAGCAGAGAAAATGATCTTAGTGCTCCCCAAGGCAACTAATATATTATGTTATTGCTGATGTATTGTGTGTTATACTTTTGATGTATGTACTAACTAATGTATGTAGTGTAACCCATGATATTATCTAGAATGTACATGTTACATACAGTTACTACTATTTATGAACATTCAAGCTGATGGTGAAACATGACAATTAAACCCACCATTAAAATATCTACAAACATTATATCAAGCACTACAGTGGGGTTCAAATAGTACAAACACTCACTGATTTCGGCAGATCTGACAGGTAAAGGGGGCAGCTCTGTGCCATTGCTGGATGGGGTCAGTGAAAGAGGGGACGCAGGTGAAAATGGAACCATATCAAAAAGGTCTGTACTTGGAGATCTAACTGCCACACTCCCTCCCTAGGATGTAAACAGAACAATAAATTAGTGGAAATGTATTAAGAAGCAATGCTTGTGGAGTGAATTTTGTGGTATTTCTGAATGGGATTTCTTACTTAGATTTCTTACTTATAAAATATATTTCTTAGCATGCTAAAGAAATCAAGAAGATTCAGGAATGAGCTCCAACTCAATCTATTTTCAGAGTGAGATTCTCTCAAGTTTGTGTAATATACTTTCAGATTTTTTTAATGAAGTCATTCAATCTAGAAATCCCGCAAAATTAACACTAACATCAAAACCAGTCCAGCCAACAAAATAAGGTGAAGAGGGAGCAAACGGCAATCATTCACTGCAAACAGTACAAGCAGTCAGCAATACAAGGTTTACCACACAAAACTCCAAAACAGGGACACACTACATTTTGCACATTCAATGACCAACTAAGAATGCACAGAAGTAATGCAGTGTTGAGTATGTTTTAAAAAAAGGTAGTCAAAACCCTTAAAAGACATTGTATATTTCCTTTTCAAAACCTGTTCATTTTGTCTCCAAGGAACATTCTGAGGAAGCCTCACAAAAGTTGTTAGTTTTGAGCCAGAAGTCAAATTTAATGACCCAAGACAACTCAACTTAAGAGACTTTCCTCCCATTAGACAATAGTTTCCCATTGGAGATCTGGTCACAAAAGGTAAAAGCTGCAGTGTAATCATTCACTGTAGCACCTGGTTCCAAGGGAAGGGATGGGCAAATTTTGTCTCAAACAACAGTAAAAATAACATTAAAAAAGGCATTTTGAGACTTCCTACTGACGTGAAATACGTTATAAAAATACAAATTATCTAAATGTGAATTGTATTGTCAAATCTTATTTTGTCACCATGTGCAAACACTGGAAAGAGGGATTCAAGTATCCAGCATCTCCGTGTGATTTTGGCTTTGAAATCACTGCCTTTGAAATGTAAGATAATGCAGATTTTGGAAAATTCTTAAGATCGGGTTTAATTTGGAAGCTGGTTTACCACAGTTTTTTTAAAGGCAGTGGAAGCAGTGAAGTAACTTTTTTGGTTTGCAGAGAATAATTCATTATACTTTAATACGATAGTGGAAGGCTGGTAAAAGACAGATTAAAGTTTGATCAAGTTGCCAACTAGATGTGTTACATGGGACACAGCATCTCATGGAACTATACTCGGTTGAGTTAGTTAACTAGTGCCCATTGATTGCATTCACAATATACAAAGAATTCCTGCATTTTCTAGTACTTTGTGTCCTCATGCTCATTTCAATGCCATTTTTCAGATGATAATGTCCTCATTTTGAATCAAAACAATACCCATAGCCTCTCAAAGGAAACTGAACAACAGTCAGTAATGTTAGAAACCCTGCATTTCTTCTTCATATCACAAACAATGTCACAAGATATGCATAGTAATCCCATTAAACAAATATTATATACACAGCAGAAACATGCATGCAGAAATTACACGAGGTCTTGGAATACTGAATCCATTGACTGCTCTCTGAAGAGTGATTTTGGGTGGAGGTGGTGTTAGCAGACACGTTGTTAAACTGGAGCCAGAGGGACTTGTTGGGGTAAGCGTAAAAGAAGCTATTTCGGGAAATGAAACAGTCTCCACGTTATGGGACCAGAGGAGAGTTGACGGCCTTTGGCATAATTGCTGTTGTTTACTGGAACTGATGTGCAACAGCTGGAAAGAAAACCACATAAGAGAAACAGAATCTTCAAGGATTCAAAATGTTGGTTAACGGAAACACCTGCAAAGTATCTGCATTTGCATATTCACTTGGGAACATTTTTAAGAATTTTGTTTCTCAATCCACACGGTTTAAAAATTGATCTGCACACGCTGCTCACAAAATGTAGTCAATCCACTGTGCAGTATATCCTGTGAAGCACTTTGAGACGTCCTTGACGACACAATAAGGCGCAATGTCAAATGCAAGGATTATTATAATTTCAGAAAGCTTGTCCACTCTCATAGTACTTTACATTGTTTTGAAAATGTGACAGTAAACAAAGGTGTACATCCCTTCCAAGAAGTGCATTACATTTAAAAACGTCACACAGCACAATCTCCATGTGTAAGTTGCCTTTCTAAAATTTATTTCTCGATCATTCCCTTTGTCTTTGAGACTCACACATCAGTGCTAGTTTTCCATCTCCAGTATTCAGCTTATTCCAATTCTCTCAACTTCCAAACTGCACTGAGCTATGATGCTTTGCCCTTTTCTCTCTTTCTCCGTGGTCCCTATCCTCAAATTGAAGAAATCAGCAGTCATGCCAACACATTAAGGACAATGCTTGAATGATAGGTGATTGTTTAGCTGACACATGGTGTTACAATTTTAAATGTAAGCCAGGCTCAACCATTTGACTGTGATTTGTTCATTTATAAAATAACAGATAATAGAATTAAAAAGTTACCACGAGATTTAAACTGTTAAAAGCCTGGAATACAACATCATGTTGTTCACACGATTCACACATCACACAAAGTGAAGTGACAGTTGCATACTCTAGATTAAACAAGAGCAGCACACACTAGAGTTTACTTGAACCCTGTTCCCATCAGCAGGTCACTGTTTTTAAATCAACATAAATATTAGTGCGTGGCCCATCAAGTCAGTTTTCAAAAGGAAACAAGTGGAACGATAGCATTTGGATAAAAACCTTTCCAACACAATCCTACAAGCCACTCATAGATCAATGGACATTACAAATAATAATAATCCTTACATTTAGTATAGTGCTTGTCACAATGGGAAGACATCCCAAAGCTCTTCACAGGATTTTACTGTGAAGTTCAGTGACTGCGAGTTTTGTGGATGAACGAGCATTAACATCATTTTAAAGAAAAATAAGAAAGGCTGGACATTGGAAAGTGTAAAGGTAAAGTTCTCCCTAGGTGCAATGTTTAATCGTTGTATGCAATCAGGTGAAAAACTGCAGATAAATCATCCAAAAAGAAACCACATTTGTAAAAAGGCTTTTTATGAACACTATTCGTACATGACAGCCATTATCAGCCCTGCCCAGCTGCATTCATCCCAAGCAGCCACTCTACGTGCACAAGGCTACCTGAATGTAAAGCCAGTCTAGTTGATCTTGGCCCTGATCCTGGGCTCATCTGACGTGCATGTTCATTTCCAGCAGCAACCAAGGGAGCGATGATTGATTTTTCTTCACCCTCCCTGGGCATGGCGCGCTGAGGCCCATTTTCAGTACCCCAATACTGCCCGAGCTGAGACAGACAGCAGCACAACAATGATGATAGAGCCAGGGATCACAACAGTTGCCTGAGTTCGAGACCACACAAGGTTGTGTAGAGTCCCTGCATTATTAACTCCTGCTGATGTCCTTTCCATGTACCTACTTCGAAAATCTTGCTTTACTCTTACTCATTTTACAGTCCTACAGTCTGCTTGAATTTGAGTTACCCTTGATCTCAGGGTTTAAAGACCTGATGATTCATGTCTCCTTGAGGTCAATTCTGGCAGCGCCTTCTCAGAATACAGAAACCAAAGTTCTAAAAATCACCCCATCTAACCCTAAGCAATGGAAAGCCGTTTTGAAGGTAGGGCACCCACACATTCAATCATTATTTTAAATGTGGCCTTGTAGGCTATTTCAAGTTATATAATTCATTGCTGCCATGGAATTTGACAGGCTTATTGAAAGCTTCAAACTGTATGCATATTTTCACTGAAAATACAGTTCGTAATCACACACAGATAACCATTTACTAGACTGATGTTGATCTTGAGCTGGCATTCATAGTTCAATCCTCCACAAACAAATCATCCAAAACTCAGCTCATATGCTCTCCTCTACCATCAACCCCATCTTTGCCAAGTTCCACTGTCACCCCATTTCTCATTCAATTTACTTTCAATTCCAACTTTCAAATGCCTGAATGATCTTGCCCCACCCAACTGTCTCCTAAAATCTTTCTGCCTTGCATCCATCGCCATGCTTAATATCCAATCCAGACAGATACGCATATATACGCCACATATGTACAATCACTTATACAAGAACATTTCTCTGTGTAAATAAATTGGTGGCCTCCTTCTTTATGGTTTCCTTCCTTCGCCTCCCCATCCTTTTCCTTTTGACTATCCCTGGGAGGATTGAAACTATTGCTTATCGCATTGCGAGATATAAAGCTTCGCCATCTGCAGAACAGCTGAAGAGAGTCAACTGTTTAAGACTGAAGGAGTGTTGGCCAAATAAAAGTACTTTTGGAATTTCTGAGTGTCAGAAGGCTATTTCATCATGGGACACATTATAGCATGCAAGACCAACTCTGTCCTTATCCAACATGCACACACACCGCAATCCAGCAACAACCAAAACATATGATCAGGAATGGAAACCTCAGCTGATTTTCTCCCTCTGTAGTTTAACATGTGTCATCGACCATCGCAGCATTGTGTCATCGGCTGCCACACATTAACCCATTCAGATTCAGATTCAGCACACAATAAAAGATTTGAAGCTTTGATTCTAGTTCAGACCCAACTTTCTAGAGTCAAGATCCATCATCAAGCTGGACACCCAAAGTTTTCTACTTACAAACTTGCATCAGTCTATGACTATAAATATTTCACCCACAAAATACAATCAATCCACTTTACAGTATACACTGGCTGTTTTCTTCTTTCTTAATCTAAGGGCAGAACACTATTATCCTAGCTGAACTTGACTACCTCAACCGAAAACCTACAATGTTGTGTTCTGTATGACTGCCTTCTGTGCCGGGCAATGCTTTTCTCACTAGGCCTAGAACATGCAGTACAGTATAACAACAACAACAGCTTGCATTCATGCAGCACCCTTAACGTGGGGTAGCGTCCTGGTTCGCTTCACAGTGGCGGAGTATGATAACGAGCCAGGGGAGAGGTAGGGGTGAGGTGACTGTAAGCAAAAATCGTATACTCAGATTACTGTTTAGTAACACAGTAGGGTGGATACAGCTGTGATGTGCACTATTCCCAGTTGGATACAAACAATCCTCTTCAAATTGTCACATGGCCCAGTTGCACATAACTTTAGGAGTTTTTTCCCACGCTACATATGGGGCATAATGGAAAGATTCTGTACAATAGAGCAGACTTTTGGCCTTTCCCTTGGCAAAACACATCAACTGATGCTGGAGTGTGGGGTCCTTGCCTACAGGTCTGTCCTTTATGTGTGAAGTCCTCCATCTAATAAATAAGCAATAAAGAGAAAGGAGCTTTGACCCTTTAGTTCGTGGTATGTAACAAATTGTCTTTATTCTTTCTTTCTTGCTGCTGATACAAACTTACTGTGTGCTCACGTCTTAAACCCTTCAAATCAATGGCAACTACATACAAGACAGCACTCTAAAATCTGAGGCCTTCTTGTGTTGTGTTATTTTTCCATTCCTCAGTGCTAAATTTCAGACTAAATCAATGCTGGTTCATGCATCAGTAACTTTTATCTGCAGAAAATAACGGCAGCAACTCAATAAAGGACCAAAGTTCCAATTTGACATTCAGACTCACTTTTGCAACAACAACTTGCATTTAAATATATAGCGCCCCTCACCCAGGGTAGCGCCCCGGTGCGCTTGACAGTGGCGGAGAATGATGCCGAGTCGGGGGGAGGGGGAGGTGACCATAGGGATGGTCAAACAGAAAGGTCTTCAGGAAGAAGGAACAGGAAAGGGCAGGATAGCAGGATAAAGGAAGAGTGTTCTTGAGTTTTGGAGTGTAGTGGCTGAAAGCACGGCCACCGATGGTGAAATGGAAGACACAAGGGACATGCTGAAAGCCGGAGCCAGCCGAGTGGAGACAGCAAGCTGTGAGTTGGGCGGTAAGCAGGTCGGAGAGGCATCGAGGTGCCAAGGTATGAAGGGATTTGAAAACGAGTGTGAGGATCTTGAAATCGATCCGTTTGGCGATAGGGAGCTAGTGGAGACTTCCTGGAACTAGTGAGATAGGGTCTTACAGTTCATTGCTCGTCCACTAGATGGATCTCTTTACACAGAAAGGATAGCCACTTGGACAAGGTCCGTAACCCCAACATGATTTGGTGAGAATGCCAAGGGCCTTACTTCCCTTTGTATAAACTGTTTTCTTGTGGTATGGGGGACGGGAAGAAGCACTATGCAGAAGTTATACAATTGAGACGCATGCAAATTTGGAAAGAAATATTGGCACACAACTGGAAATCGTTGATGATACACCTTGCAGGTTCTTTGTAAATTGTGTTTGTAAAATAGAAACAAGTTATGTTCCCATCTTTTTGGGAATTTTGATTGCATGGTCCCACAGGGATGCATTATCCTTTCATAAATACTTTGATACAGGATTTTCAGTCTAATTTTATGCTGTATTACTCATGATTTAAATTACAATCATGCTCAGTTTTAACTATAAGCAATTAACAAGTTGGTGGGTGACCCTGCAATTACTTATCAGGATGAATCAAAGTAAGCAGAGGCACTCTATAATCGACTTTGAATGCTTAATTCAGTGGACAATGTATTGTAAAGGAGATGGTATCAGTAAGAAAGCAAAATATGCTTACAATATTGACTAATGTATCTTTGCTTCCTATAAGATCCACTCCTTTCATTTAAATCATTTCTCATGATCCCTGGTCTCCTGGAGGTAGTGGTAAATGACTGAGTGATGAGTCCATTATTAGTAGTTATTGCCAAAATTGGCATTCCTCACAGATAAGTCCAGAAATAATGAAAAAAATGCACCAAGAACATGAGAAAAACATGCTGAGAATACGTGGCAACTATGAAAACCTGCCTGTTATTTGACCCAAATCCATGGTGCAAATTTGCAGTTTATAATTATTAGCTGGATTTCCAAAAGACATTGATGAAGTTTACTTTCATATTTTCTACATGGATTGCATTTGCTCATTAGAAAGTAATTTATCAACACTGGTGTATAAATCACCCAGACATTAAATACCCAGCAACAGCCACAATTTGTTTCCAATTGACATTAAAACCAATATCCACAACTAAATACTATTAATGAGAAGTATATAGCCATCCATCAATTCCATCTGTTTAGATTTGAGGATTAAGATTTTTGCAAACAAAGAGTGTATGTAAGGAAAAATATAATCAAAATGGCATGAGGGTAGGAAACAATTTTACTCAACAAAATGTTTCCTTCTAAATCAGCACTTACTTTTCATAGCTGCTCATGGAACCACAATACGTGAAGTAGTAATACAATATTGTACACTTACACTAAAACTGTGTAACATGAACCTGTTGTTAATTGTTGTCATCAGCCTGGCTCAGTTGTTAACACTCTTGCTTAAGTCAGAAAGTTCTTGGTTCAAGCCTCATATTGGAATTTGAACTCACATAGCCTAGCAGATGCTCCAATGCAATGTTTAGTGGTGTGTTGCATTTTCAGAGGTGCCATCCTTTGGATGAGACATTAAAGTGAGGTCCCATCTGCCTGTTCAGGTGGATGTTAAAGAACCCATCTCATCTGAAGGACATCACCTCCAGCAATGCAGCATTAGAATGGAATGTCAACCTAGACGAGATGAGTTGAAAGTCCCGTCTTGAAACTTGAACCCATAACCTTCTGACTCAGAGGCGAGAGTCTTACCAACTGAGCCACATCTTAAAGAGCAGCAGCTTGTTTATGTAGAAGTGTAAACGTATATTGAAGAGTCAAATTTGCTGAACACTGGAAAGAATTGTAGCAAACCCTGTTCTGTTTACCAATTGATCCATTATATTTATGTAAAATATCATAGTATTGGCATTTGTCCTTTCCATTTCATTCTGTAAAGTTATGCAATTTAATAGTAAACACCATACTATATCTGGCGACAGGTTGGATTGGGAATTGACAACCTCCAGTTAATACTCAATACTCAAGTTTTGCAGGTTGGTAATATAAGATCATCTATCTAACTCATAGTACATGAATACAGAAAGTTTATATGATCAGTAGTACTGCACTCTTAAAAAGGTCTTGCCAATCCCTAATTCATATAAAAATGTATGGAGGTGAACTGTTTTTACACAGAGGGAGAGAAACCAGGTCACTGTGAGGTTCAGTAATCTACAATGCCCTTTGGTGATTTGATCCCGAGATCAATCAATCAGAATGAACATCCCTAAATATTTGTAGATGACGTTGATAACAGAAGCTTTAACCCTTGACATTATTGGTAGATCTGTCTCATCCAAGTAAACTCGAATTACCATTCGTAACATATCAGAGCACTTGCTCAACTGCAAAACAATTAAGAGTCTTTACTTAAGGAAAGAAGAGCTCAGCACAATGGACTGGGCTACCAGGCTGTCCCTTAATATTCCACAAAAATCCTGCAAATTAATGGTGTTGTTTAAGGTACTAGGAATGAATCAGAGAGCAATCAAGTCTTCTCCTGAACAGCCATTTCCATTAATGGGCAGCGAAAACACATCACTAAAGCCTAAACAGATCTTTAAGTCATTAAAGCAATAGCATGGGCCAAAAATTAAACTCTCAGACAGCAACAGATAAACCCAGGNTTTTTTTCCAATTGTACAAGGGAAAAAAAGAGAGCAACGTTGCATGGTCTACTGTGCGGAGGTTTCCTTTGCAGTGGAATACAGAACTGCCTATTTTGCACAGCTTGAAATCATTCTGAGTAGCGAAATGGAATGAGGAAGCATAACTTGGTTCCTGTACACTTACTGGTGATTGAGGAGTTTGAGTGGCCTTGACTTTATCCTCCAGTTCTTGAACTTTCTTTTTCAATTCACTGTTTTCCGTTTCCAGCTCCTGAATCTGCAAAACGACCATTTGTAAAATTTGTAAAAACTGCCCGACCGCAAAGCCATACATCTTAAGGTTTAAAATTTGTGCGCATTTAAAGGAATAAAAGGGAAAACTCATTGCACGAAAATAAAAGTGTGTGTATCCTCTCGTAGGTTAGGCTACATTTTAAAGTTGTCTAAGAAACAGCTTGATACTGTCCGGCTCAATCGGTAGTATTCTGGGTCAGAAGGTTGTGGGTTCCAATCTTATCATGGGACCTTAGACCTTAGACCTCACGGGGTATGCTGACGTTCCAGTGCAGTGCTGGGAGAAGCACTGATTATTCGAAGTGCCATCCTTGGTTGAGATTTTAAACCAAGGTCCTGTCTGCCTGTTCAGTTGTATGCTGAAGAACCCATGACATTACTCAAAAAGACAAGGGGGTCCTATCGTGGCAAGCAATCTTCCAGTTAAAATTAATTATTCACCTCCTTGCTGTTTGTGGGACATTGTGTTGGCTGCTGCACTCGCCCACAAATACACAGCGACTGCATGTAACAGAAGGTCTTAGAACTCACTGATCCTGAAGGAGTATTACAATTAGCACAAACTGCAGTCATTTGCACTTCATTCTCCCTCACACCCAACAAGGAGGGAAAATTCGTCCAATGTGCACACAGAACTATTTAACATGCCATAAAACAAGAACACTTTGGATTTATTGGTACAGCTGTTTAAACATTCAGTAGATTTAAAAGTAAAAGTAAATTGAACTACATGGTACATAAAGAATCTTAGATCCCAATGCTCATTGATAATGTACCTCTGTTCCTCTGGTGAATTATGTAGTAATGGTTATTGGGCACGATAGCACAGAATGTACCATTAGCATAAATGTAAATATGTGCGGGTGGTAGGAAAGGTGGCGACAGAACCAAGAACAATGACATGACCACAGCATATTCAAAATTAAATTGATACAATTACAAAATATTTTAAAATTGGCATGCCAAGGGGTAAACTACACACCTGAAAGTTTTGCTGTGGGAAATATTACGGCATATTGAAAAGAGTTCAAAACGAAATTTACTATTTAGAAATTAAGTTAGGGTCTTAGAACGTTTTTTAAAAAAAGACATAATGGTCTACATTGAATACATATTACAGAAATGAGTTTGATAAGATGGGAAGTAGTAAAAAAAATGGAGGTATAATACAATGCAATTCAGATTTATATAGAGCTTTCCAAGTAGGAAGGACATCTCAAAGTGCTCGAAAGCAGTCTATTGTACAAGACTTCTGACAAGTCACGTCTAAGGCTCAACAATCAAAAACCTTTTTTGAAGCCCACCATTGCGGTTTTCATTACTATTTCAGCTTACTCTCTTTTGCAAATTGGCAATCTGTTTTCTTGTTTCAACATCTTTTCCTCCCGATTCCAGGAACTTCTTGTAGGCCAAGTCAAAAGCTTGGCCGATAGTTAAAGTTATTTCTTCAGCCTGCAAAAAATTGAAGGGATTTAGGGAATACAGTGCAACTCCATTCTTAAGGGATTCACGACCAGAGCTAGTGTTTGAAGGGATTCAGAGTTGTACAAATGGAGACACGTTCTTGCAAGTACATCAGACTATTGGGCCAGCTTTGCAGCTTGCACTGCAAAGTGTTTACAATTGAACCCAAACCTGTCTCTAATGGAAACTTTAGAGGTTGGTGCTTCAGATCAAAAGCTTGATCACCACTTCATAAGGTTATAAGATTGGGTCTCTTGATGAAGGCTAATTGGCCAATTTGTTTTCATCCTTCCAGAGTACCCACCCTAACTTCCTCTCTTCACAGCATCAACCTGTTTTTAAGTGATCCGTTGTCAATAATGTTTCCTGGTAACATGTTCCAATTGTTATTTACCCTCTGGGATGAGAAATACTGTTTTTCTGGTGTCTATCCTGAACTTTTGCTACCCTAAACTTGTGCCTTCTTATTTACTTCCTCAATCGCATTTAAAATTTCATACACCTCTATAAGGTCCCATCTGAGATGTCTCTCTTTGAATTGAAAGACTTGTAACTTGTAAATCATGTCTCTAACCATGAGAATTATCCTTATTGCTCTCCTCTCTGGTGAATACTGAAAAAGTGGTGAGCAGGCCACAGAAGCTTATAGGGTTTGGTTTATGGTTTACTTACACACTTTTCACTATCAAACACGTAACACATATGTTTATTTGATTCGGCATCTTTGCAAATAAAAGTAAATATCCTCTTGTCTGTTTTGTCGTCAGCACAGAAGGATATTCGATGCAACTGGCAATTATGCAGAATTTCCTGCAATCGAAAGAAAAAATTAGAAACTTTAATCTTTCACAACAAAAACAGCTTCAAAATTAAGACTGTTAAGAATTTGCCAAATCCTGGACAACGAAATAGTTTAAGAGCAACGAAAATAAATCTTACCCAAGTAGAATTTCACCTACAAAATACACAGTCAATAAACTTTCTGTAATTCTTATGAATCGCTTTGAGACATTTTGACAATGAGATAAGGTGTTATATATCAAATGCAAGGATTATTATTATTACCTTTGACTTGGAATCCAGAACTTTGACCCCATAGATGGAGATCTGCAATTCAACTTTGGGTGTTTTTTGACCTTCAGATTTCTTTATATGCCTTGCAAACTGTAGAACACACAAAAGGTTTAAAAATGTTGTATTTCATATCTCTTGTTTTTTAATATTAAAATTTGCTTCTTCAAAATATNAAAAAAACTTTAGAAACCTGGGGAAAATATTAAAATCCATAAACACTCAAAGCCAAACCTTTTGAAGAATAAATAAATATTTGAATTATGTCTTTGAAAAGCACAATTGCAACTAAAAATAAAGTGATATTAAGAACGGAAACTTTGAGCATCTCTCTACAATGGGTTTCACCACAAGTGCAAAGTTTAGATGAGTAAATGGGTTTCATCTGGTCCTGTTGTTTCTCACTATCAGTGCTTTGTTAATCACCCTAAATAACCAATTTCTTTACAACAGATAACTCACTAAATCACTAGCATTTTGAGATAACTCACAAGTGCCTTCAACTGCAGGCTCCAGAATGGAACAATCTTTTTTGTCTTCAGCAGACACGGTGGAAGGAAAACTATGGTAATAAAACTCTCTATACTTAGCTGCAGAGCAGCTCAGAACATTAACAGTTACAAAATGTTCACTGGGCTCTGCATATGAGTCAAACCTTCATTCCACAATTTATCCATAATTCCGAGTGGACAAAGTGCCGCAGTAATCTAATTCCGCAGTTCTAGAGTTTGAATCCCATTCCTGAAATCATCCCCAGTTGGTTTTACAGCCACCAATGCAAAGGGAAGTTTAAATGTACAAAAATACCTTTAGTTTATCTATTTAAACATCGTCAGAAGATCAGCCTAATCTACTGGTTCAATCTATTAGTTCATTAACAACCTTCCCCCCAAAAAATACGGTGTTCAGCATCAGTTGGTGGAGCGCTGAACAGGCGTTTATCTCTAAACAAACACACAAGAGCTTTTTGTGCCTTGAATAAAGCCATGAGCATTCAGAGCAGCTAGTATAATTGCTTTTCAACTTCAAATTGCTGTTCTGCCTTCAGTGCATCGACTCAGTAGCTGTCATACAACTGGCCCCATAAATAACAGAGCAGCTGTGCTCCAAATAGAGCAAAACAAAATTGTTGCATGTATTAAAAGACACACCCTACATGTCTCTGCCCAGATGCCATAAGCCAAGGCATTAGAGTCAGCACGGAGTACTTTGGGGACCTACTTCAATTGAACCTTAAAGCTGGGAAGTTATCAACATGAAGCACTGGAAGGATTCTCCTTGCTCGTCTGTTAGAATTTGCCTCCCCATTCAAGCTATGTCTTGAAACATTATCAGAACCTGTGCGCGAAGATTCCTATCCACAAAAGACACACCTACCCCTCTGAATCCCATTGATGATCCAGGCTGGCTGGGCAATCATCAAAAGTTCCCTGTGAAGCAGTCAGGCTGAGGGATTGGATTACCAAGTCTACAGATCTGACTCAATTCTGCTACCCCTTCGCTAGGCATGTCACAAAGGAGCTAGCTAGATGCCATATTCTCTGGTGACTGTTTTGTAGTGTAGAGTCATGTAGCGTAGTGGTTAGAGCACTCGCCTTGCAAGCGAGAGGACCTGGGTTCAACTCCGAGGCAGTGCGAAATGTTGGGCAAGTTTCCTTATTTCACACGCCTGTTTACCTAGCAGTAAGTAGGAACCCAGCTGTTAAGCCAATTGGCGGAACGCTTTTCCGAAGGTAATAATCCCTTCAAAAACAAAAATAAATCTAAATAAATAGTAATAATTTGGTCACTCAATCCATGACTGTTTGTGGGACACTGCTGTGTGCAACTGGCTGCCTGTTTCGCCCCAAAAGTATACAGTCAATCCACTCTACAATATATTGTGTGAAGCGCTTTGAGACGTCTCGAAGACATGATAAGGCGCTATATCAAATGCAAGGATTATTATTTATTATTTTATTATTGTTCTGGTAATGCTCACGCTTGTATTTGGAGCTGTTCGTGGACTGATGTTCTTCTGCAGGAAGTAATTGAAAAAGGTTAAAGTTTAGGGCAATCTAAGAAAGGATTGTTTTAAAAAAAAGTTAATTAATTGAGATGCAACTTGCTTGCTTTCCCAACCCCCTTCCCCAATGAGGGTAACAAAGCAACAAAGTGATTAGAAATATTACTTAGTAAAATGGAAATGTGGTACTCTGGGATATGGTTCACTGTTGATCTTCAATAGAATGAGGACTATGTAAATATAATCTTTTACTAAATGTTTTGCATAACAAATTAGGAAAACATCTCCCTCTTTAATTTCCATTCCTCTTGCAAAACTAGAGTTTTGCACCTTGGGATGTTCTCCCTTCTTGAAAGGCGCTTTACAAATGTAAATTTATATTAGATTATAGAGTTGACGTCAACACTTCAGTATCAACTGCATTGACTGAATGTGGCACATAGGATTTCAGGACAATTCTCCCCACTCCAAGACAATGCTTTCTGCATTAAGATATACCAATGTACAGATAGGAGTTGTACGCTGGAGTTGGAAAGTCATTCACATGTGGACTTTAAACTCTGGCCTTTGAATGAAAGATCAAAATCCAATAACTAGTGCTGTCCAAATTGTGAGCCAGCACTTGACTTGTTTGCACATCAAGATGATGTCAGTTTTCCTACACAGTGAGTTTCTTCAAAGCACAGAGTTATGAGTTGTTAAAAATATTTCAATAATAAACTAGTTCACATAAATAATTGACTCTTGGCGAGAGGAAGTGGTTTTAAAACCAGGTCACATTCCAAAACATACCAACGTCTAGGTCTCATTCCCTCCTGTTGGCTACTTTAGAGCCTTTCACGAGTGAGCTTTGCCCAGTGTCACACTGTTACCAAATCATTCCAAACAAGGCCTGACATAGAATTGTAATGTCAGGATTTAAAAGCCTGTTTTGTTCAGCGTTTAAGATGAAATGATATCACTTTCTTGCGTTACTTTGTGCCACATTCACTACACAATTGCATACAATCTGAAAAAGGACCATTACACCTGATCCGAGGCCTGAAATTGTACCTAGACTTAAACACCAAGACCTTTTTTTGTCTTAAAAATTAAGATTTGTCTGAATTGTGAAAAATTTGGAAATTCTGAAAATAGTTTTGAGTTCAGTGTTAACTTAGATGCCAGTCTGCTTTTGAGAAAAAGTGAACTGGTTTCGTCTTCCCAACGTGAAAGGTGATAAAATGCAACTTGGAACGGCGTTGTAACTGTAATTATAGAGGAAAATAGCTTCCAAATTAGCTCTGAATTTGAGGATTTTCCACAATTCAAAACAAAATGATCTTACAAATAGAGATGGAATTTCAGTTCTTCTGATTGCTGAAGATGTTCTGTTTTGGATAGCACCATTCCAATAAAACACACTATTACACTCCATTCTGGATGACATTATCAGACTCACCAAACCAAGGTTTTTGTATTCTTATAATTGAAGAACACAGTATGGGGGAGATCTACGGTACAGAAGCTTATTATTCAAAATGGAATAGCAAACAACCTAATAATATAGAATGTCGGACATATCTAGGGAGAACTGTAGAGAAAGCCCAATTCTGACTGAGCCCAATGGTAAAGATCCTAACACTAGCACTGGCACTGCCAAGAAAAGCAAAATGTGTCATAGTTTGGTTCCTTGCCCAGTGGGAACAAAAAGAGTAAATTCCAATAAAGCTGTTGATCTGTGCAACCTACTTACACTCTTGGAAGAAATGAGAGAGGCAATGCTAATGCAAAGTGACAGGATACTGGCAGAGGGAGCCCTTGTGCTTTTTTCCTGGTAGCCATTTTCAATCCTTTCTTATCCTTCGTCTATTGAGAGTAAATATTAAGCAGTTTTCTCCCACGCTAATGGGGATCCCCGTTGATTTACCAAGGTCCCCTCACATGTTTTAAACAAATGCATTCAGTTAGAGTCCCAATAAAGCCATACTGAAGCTTAGTGGGTGAAAACTGCTCAAAAGAGCTGAAGAACACATGGCAGGGAGCTGGAGAATACAGGACAACCAGCTGGAGACCTTATGCATTTTGTCTTTAGTGCATTTAGTGATTAAATAGTCACAATAACAGTCAAAAACAAAGATAAATTTACAGTTGATCCACATTGGCGTAAGGATTCCTGACATTCTTCAATATCATCTGCTCTCAATTGTGACGTGACATTTTGAAGATGTTATTTTCCCTGTATGGTACAGACATGGAAATCATGTATGTTGGTGGAACTAAAATGTTCATCGGAGTTCTCCTATTTCATGATAAGTTAATCAGCAGCTTATTTTTCTCTCCAATTCTGCACCAATTTTCATTTATATCTGTATAATATACCCGGTCAAATTTTGTTAAACCCATGACACAAAAGGATTGAACAAAAGTTCCCTCCACATCAACACTGCCTTTTCCATAAGTCTAGTCCATAAGCATAATCTTCCAGCATTCTGACAGACATAATGCTTCATTTCAAATACTGTTTGTGTATTATTTCGTTCATATTGTCTAAATTCCAGCTACGTTTACTTCTGAAAACCTGCCACATCCAGAATTGAATAATTGCTCAAGAAATTCACATGTTTAAAAATGTGCAGATTAAAGAGAGTTATAAATTACATCTCAAAAAGCAACACCATCAGGAAAATCTAATTTGTCAACAAAATGCATTCTACCAAAGAACTAGAAAAGCAGTCAATTCAGATTTAAATTGCAGCAATCAGTCTGACTGAGCTAGACTGAGGAAAGCAAGAGGCCAGATGATGCCAGTTTACCCACACAGAAGCAAAGGCAAGAAAACACTCATTTGAAGATATGGGTTTGAATAGAAAAATCCAATAGGCAATTTAATAAAAACATTATATTTTCACTGAATTTCTACTTTCATCAACTAAGGGCTTGTTTTCTAAATGACATGATAATTGGGTCACTTAGTAGAGATGATATTGTTCTGGTTGTCTCATGCGGCTGTTTTTTGGGTTTCCAAGAAGTATAAGGTCACTGAGATGTATATTTTTAAAGTGGTTATAATAGATTTAGAACATTGCACTTCAGTGCAGTAAAGACAGTGATTGTAGACAAACAAGTATCTTGTCACAATATTCTTTTCAAAAGGAACAGGGGCAGATGAGATAAGATGAAAGACAAACTACTGAAAATGCACTTCATGTCAATCAGCAACTGGAGAGGAAGCTATAAAGCAGTTTCACAATGACCCCACGGACCCCAAGGCTCAAGGATGTGTTGAGTTGCAGCTGAGTTGAGGCAGTGCAAGAGGCCAGAATAGAAGCTTCAGATGCCGACAGACCCACTGTGCACTTTCATTGACTGCTATTCATGGCCATCTACCCTTTGGGACTGACCAGGTGCCATCTATGATCTTTTTGAGCCCTGTACATTGTTGATCCCCTATGTCCCCTTATACCCAGTCTGCTATTACACCTCTGAATCACTGGACTCAGCCTTACTGCTGCTCTCTTGCAGATTGCACTTTTACATTGAGTCTCACTCGTCACCGCATATTAAGTGCTTCTCTTTCACTTGGGGATTTATGAGCTCAGGAGTACTCTATGCAATCTACACGCAATGTTCTTTCATCAAGTAACAACTAATAGCTATCCTCCAGAGTATTAATGACATAAACTCCTCCTCACAATTAATAAATTATTCACCCTTAAATATCCTTTCTAATAAACTGATTCTATTTAAACTTGGTTAATAACCTATTTCCCTGAACTCACGTTTAATGAATTATTCATCTCATAAGTAAGGACCACATAATTCAAGAACATTTTGTTGGTTTCATTCATTAGACATGTCAAAATGAGCTCAACTACAACCATTACATTACAATTAGGTATTTATACAACCAGAAAGTTGCACAAATTAAGTTGTTCTTTCCTTTGGTGAAATCTGTGTTTAAAAGCAGCACAAAGCTACAAAACTTGTCAGTGACAGGCTCTCTGTTGAGAAGCAATGCATGGGCACAAAGATAAAGACAGGAAGAAGTTAAATGGTGAATGGCTAATGAACTGCTGAAAAAATAGCACCATGTATATTTGCTTGACATTTTCGTGATTTTAGTTGGAGCAAATATTGTACTAACAGAGATACAGATGGTCCTTGCGGTATGCTTGTTTAATATTCATGTTTTAATTCCTTTACAAAGTGAACAAAAATACTTCATAAAAATTGCAACCTATACCTTCAGTTTCCGCACAGCATCCTTCACCACCTCAGTACCTTTTGGTTGTTCAACTTCAGCATTACCCAGAAACTGAAAGGCAAAATCACAGCCGTAGAAAAGTAATTAACGTTTGAACCGCATGAAGCAGAATTTATAATCAGTAGATAATAAGCCACCACACACAAGATAATCTAATGAGAGATCTTTAACATTTTGAACTGTTTTTATATAACATCAAGGATCGATTTATCTGATTATCTTTCTCCCAATCTCAATGGATTCATTTAAGATCAAGATAGCTCTAAATGAAACAACCAGAATTATTTCTGGATTTTAAATATTTGTTTCATTTTCAAGCTTCTCAAAACTGTTCATATAAGAAATAAAAGCATTTAACAATTAAATGTAAACATTTTTAGTATACAAAGGCAATGTATAGCATTAATTTAGGATGGAGAATATAACCCTTCAATAAATGTACATATTTATTCTGTGTAAGCATAATGATAATAATTATCCTTGCATTTGACTTAATGTCTTATCACGTTGTCAAGAGTCCCTAGAACTTCATAGGTCATACTTTGTATATTTTGTGGGTGAAATAATTTATTTTATTATCTATTTTTGGAATAATCCAGGCAGTGCATTTTCCTCTTATAGTGGAATATTTGACTATAAACAGATTTTCACCAAGTATAATTTGCACGCACTCACTCCACTATCTCTCATCCTTGACATCTTCTGACAGAGAAGTGGAAATTCCAAAGGCTATTTGTGCTATAAGCAGAATGCTATCTAGTGATTTGAATATTCAATATAAATATACATTATAAAAAACAATACAAATTTCCACTTATATAGTGCCTTTCATGTCAGCAGTACGACTTTAGATCAGGGTGCACACCCAAGTTTGGATACTCACTGAAATGCTTAATGAAAAATGTTAAAAGATGTCCTATGTATAACAGTTATATATATATATAATATTGACATTCGAAAAATTATACAATAAAACAAAGGTATTGCAGACACAGTGGGAGTCTAGAAAGTGAGTATTGGCAGGTTATATAATCTTGAGGGAAGGAAATTATAGCTAGATTCAATCCAGTTTTCACCCAATGCCCCTCCCCCCCCCCACACACACACACTTTCTAGTAGGAGCTGAACTTTCCACAGTCCAACACTAAAGCTAATTTCAACACTCCCATCACTACACCAATTGTGATCAACTGACCCAGTTCAGTTCATACCAAGGACCTGCCTGGTCCATGTAGCTTGATCCCATAGCACTTATTTTCTGATAAAATAAATTCCAAAACGATGCCAGTGAGGAAAGAAGATAAAGTGGCACAAAGTAAAGTGGAAACAAAAGCTCCGACACTATGCCTGATATTGTGCGTATCCCTGCATGAACAGATCGTGGGTTTAAGAAAGTGATTGGGCTTTCACCCGAAAAGTTTTTAGTTAGGTTTCAATATTGATTTCTTTGGAGCCATCAATGGTTGCGGGAAGGGGCAAAATTTGATCAGATGATCGTGCCCTTACAGGGATCATGAGTCAAACTTTGCACCAACAAGGTAAAAACGTTTAAAATAATTGCTGACTGTATAAGTAGTCCATGCCACTTGCAGTAAGGCACGGAGGATTCAGTAGGAGTTGTAACAACCAATATCTGCTTTCATGACAGTTCTAAAAATGCATTATTCAACAAAGATTAAATATGAATTGTGTTCTCTTCCAGCTATATTTCACAACTGTTTAGACCTTGAGTTATGACATTCCAAAAGCAATTACCATAACTCATTCAAAGCAATTGTATCTTAATCAACTGCATTACAAAATGTCATTAGCAATGCAAAATAGTCTTTTTTAAGCCACCTTGGTGTTTTCCTCACNTTTTTTTTACACAGCTTTGTGCACCCATATTGATATAACGTTGCAGGAATTTTCTCTGATCCTACAGGAAGCAACTCATATTGTGCACATAGGATCTTAGGTTAAAATGTAGAAACTTTTTTTAAAAAAACTCCCTCTTCACTAAAAAAAATTAAAAAGTTTTAACTTTTAAAAAGTTTTGCCCCCAAAATATACAGTCAATCCACTTTGCAGTAAATTTTGCGAAGCGCTTTGAGACGTCCAAAGATGTGATAAGGCGCTATATCAATGGCAAGGATTATTATTATTGTTGACTAAAAGCTCTTTGTTCAGACTAGGAAGGTCCCGGGTTTGATCCTCAGCTTGTGCTGAGATATCTGAGTTCGTAGAGTTCAGTTCACCCAGCACAGTCGTCACCATGTAAACTTGGATTTGATTCATGCTGTTGACAGCAGATTTGTATTGGCAGGATGCCTTCAATAACGTATTAATAATCGCACTCAGATTTTTCTGCACCACATCTGCAAATTTCTGCCTTGTACACCCTCACCACGTCTGGCCTTGAACTCCATTTACTGAACATACCTTGTATGTTATTTATCTTCTTCCTATTATCCACATGCTCACATAGCTTGGTATCATCAGCAAATCTACCGTATGAGTTAGTGCTTTCCTCCAAATCAATGTGGACAGCAGGAGACCGGGAACAAAGATATGAAGAACAAAGATACGCTAGTCACTGCCCTCCTTGAACTCAATTGTTTTTCTTTTAGCCTTACTACCTTACCTACTTTCTATTATTCTGCCCATTTCAATACAATGAGGTAATTTGTCTGTAATTCCATGAATTTTGACCTCCTTTAAAAGTCATCTACTCACGTATGGAACTTTATCAAATGCCTTCTCAAAAATTGAAGTGCGTCAGTTCTATCCAATGGAGAGTTCTGGAATTACCAGTTCACTAACTTCTTGAAGTAATTCCTGTAAATTCGTAAGTGGCTAAATCTATCATTTCCAGGTTTTTGTTTCCCTCTTTGCTTGAATAAGGGGATAACATTTGCCATCCTCCAGCCCTCAGGTATGCTCCAGTGTTAAACATCACTGATATCCCTGATATCTGGCTGATTTATTAAGGTAAACTTAAAATCCGACACATTTGACAAGTTTCTATACTTTAAAAAAATCCGGACCGTGATACATTGTATCTCCTTGCTCTTAAACTCTGCAGGTTTTGATCAATGAACCAGTGAGTCACAATATAAAATGATTTAAGTGCTTGTTGCTCGCAGTAGCAATCATAATTAATAATAATTCTTGCATTTTGGTTTAGCACCTTTCACATACAGTAGAGAGTCCCAAAGTCTTCACAGGATTTACTGTGAAATGGAGTGATACTGTGAAATGGAGTGAAATGCGTGTTTATGGGCAAATGCATGAGCGCAATTGCGCACAGCAGTGTCTCACAAGCAGCCATGAAATAAATGACCAATTTTATTAGGTGGTTTGTTGGCCAGGGCACTGGGAGAAACTCCCTTTGCTTTTCGAATAGTGCCATGGGATCTTTAACGTCCATCTGAACAGGCAGACGGGACCTCGGTTTAATGTCTCATTCAAAGGACAAACTGTAATCTCTCTCATTCCATAGACAAGCTTCTATAATTTGCTGAACAGTACACATACTAGGAAAATCAAACTGAATGTACAGACTTACACACACTGAATAAAACAGCAGAACATACAATAACAAATTGCATTTATACAGCGTCCTTCGCGGAGGATAACATCTTGGAGTGCTTTATAAAGACAGGAATCGGTTGCCGAGCAAAGAAGGGGAGGTTAGCATAGGCCTGGTTGAAGAGGTGAGATTTAGATAGATATCGAGGGGAGCTAGAAAGATGGTTAGAGGGAAGGAGTTCCAATGGTTAGGGGCATAGTAAACTGAATCTATGATGGTGCGGAGGACACATAGTAAGAATCCTGGAACACTGGCCCTCTAAATTCAGAACACTACACATTGTGTGAAAGCCACATGTTCTACAAATAGAAACGCCACATTTTTCTTTAAACAGTGGCTTCATAATAAGAGACTGCAAATGAACACATTATGGAGATGCATAACGAGCAGTTGGAAGATGTAACCTGGCATTTCCCCTCCCCCGCTGCTTCACCATCACCATCTGAAACAAGCGACTGAGATCCCAGTCCCAAGTGTCATAAATCAGAACACAACAAGGGAAACTGATGAAAGAATGCAGTGAAAATGGAAACTCAGAATTAAAAAGGAAAAGGCACGGAAAACAGCAAGACTTCAAAAATGCTCAATTCAAATGGTCTGTCAGGGCAAGAGCCCAGGGCTCCAATGAATGGGGCTTTGTTGAAAGAAAAATAGCTAAGTGTTGGCACAGCAACAGGAGGCTAAATCTCTGAATCCTCAAACGGCTGGCTTTCCAGATGGAAAAAAAGACACAACATCCCACACTGCATAAACATATATGGAAAAAAAAGACCTGGATCAAGGAGAAGCAGACTTGCAGACGGGAACACGTCTTCCAAGTTTTCGGAAATGTGATCCCAAAAAAAAGACGCCATGAAACAAGTTTCTTTTTCCCCACCCTATGCTGTCTGACTGAAATCGCGATCGCCAAGGTGAAAGAATGGCAGCAGAAGGGACAGACAGAAAGAAATTATTGTGTTACAATATCGATCTGTCTTACAGGCTGATATGCCCTGTGGCAAGTGGAACATTTCACACTTTTTGAAATACAAAGTACTTGTAGTGCTGCCACTCAATAGCGAGTGTCTGGCTGAACAGGAAGCTTTTCAGCATTGTGGCTGCATTACTTCAGCGCTGAAATGAAAGCTCATGACAGAAAATGTGCTGCTGCTAGTCGACATCTCTGGTTCACCTACACACTTCACTTTGACCAAATTCCCTCCAACACAGGACATTTGACTTCTTTGCCCTTTAGATGCAGACATAATCTGCGGGGCGTCCAAGGTTTCATAGATCGATAATGCAGCCGTACGCAGCAGCCACAATTCTCTGCTGGAGCAAAATAAAAGAAATCGGTAGACACGCACTTAGACCAGCCGCATTGCACGGGAAGCTTCACAGAATCCGTCCGTTTGATCCAATGAATAGCCTGCAATGGAGACTGGAGATGAGGCAGTGCCTGCTCCGCGTGGAATAAACCAATTGATTTGTGAATTTCATTGACATGAAAAACCGATGCAGTTCTGGTTATGTCATTCCAATGAATGTTCCCATTAGGAATCAAAACCTATGGATTGCTGCAATTTGTTTTTCTCAAACGCTCTCAAGTTTCAAACAAAGGAAGAAGAAAGTTCTTTAAATAGTATATTAGAATGACAAGGTTGTAAAGACAAAACCTGTACTTCATTTTTATTTGCACACGCTCCTCTTTTATAGTTGCTACACAGACAGACAGAAAGACAGACAAACACACACACACATCTCTTCAGATAAATGGTACACAAAAGTGCTGTACAGTGGCTCATCCTATCAAATATTACTGTGGGGAAACATCTGATTGCTGTACACTGTTCCCTGATAAATAACTAAGAATGAAAACTTGTCAGGTGGTTATTAACTATAGAGAACACCGTTAAAACACTCAATAAGCTCACTTTTAGTGCCATCACTGCATTTCGATAGATTGTCAACATTCTCAAAACTTTGATTCGAAAATTGCCAAATGACATTAATAATAATAATATAATTTCTTCATGTCTTTGCAGATTTGCTCAGTGTTAAGAACTAACTAACTGTGGAGTTCTGCCTGAATTGAAGGTAAATATAAAACGGATCAATGTGGTTTCCCAGCAAAGACAAATAGTCAAGATAATATTTACATTGTCTGTTATAAGACCACAGTAGGTTTCCCACTCCCCCCCCCCCCCCCCACCCTCCCCCATAGCATTTATTCTTCTTCCTGCAAACAGCATTATTCATAAGATATTACATACCTTTACGTTGTAGGGAATAAAGTGTTTTGTTAGAGCCTCAGGTGAATGCATCCAGGTCTTATCTGAAAGAACAAATTAAAAGGTGCAACAATGTAAGCAAGAGGCAACTAGGAACTATCAAGCAAAAAAAAACCTGTAATAAATCTGCAAAAGTGGGTCAATGAGGATCCTGAAGAGAATGGTGGAATCCTAAACTGCTCAGTGAAACTCAAATATTAAAGACTTTAATTTATTAAAGACTTCCTCTGAAGTGAGGATAATGAATACCTGGGAGTGATAGGTGCTTATCTCTCTCAGGAGCTGGAGTCACCTTCACAAAAGGACAAAAATGAAGTTCACGTGGCTCCTAAATTTCATTTGGATTCAAAGATTAGTTTACGGCCTTGAAATTGGCTCTCGCTTTTTATTATTATTCAAAATATCCACCATCTTCCATCTTATGTGGGATCTGTATTCTACATTTGGCTGACACAGCAGAATCTAATACACTCGCCAATCATTGACATAAGAGGATTGATTAGGATGCTATTTGCTGAGATGTTGAATTCTTGGTAACTTCCCACCTGCGAGTCTGTCTTAAAAATACTTCGAGAACAGAAGCAAGGAACAAATAATTGCCAACGCTGGCTTCAACATAGAAGTTGTATCGACATAGAAAGCGTGAAGTCTCTGTACAAGCACAAAGTTGACATCTTTCAATCGAAGGAAGCTATAGTAGCAGATAGTTCCCATCAACAGTGCACATGTTCAAATAAGTGAAACCTGAAGCAATTTTTAATAGGAAAAACAATGGGTACTATCACGTGGATCTTCCCACTTGCCAAACTGTCCAGTACAACTTTACTAACCACGACCGTCTGTGGGACACTGCTGCGTAAATTGGCCTGCCGATTTTCACCCACAAATTATCTATCAGTTCACTTTACAGCATGCTCTGTGAAGCATTTTGACACATCTCAATGACTTGATAAGGTGCCATATCGAGTGCAAGAATTATTATTATTACTGGTATAATTTTATTCCTATTTTTCTATGCATAGTTAATACCGCTTAGTCGTGTGTGAAGAGCTGCCTCCAGGCCTGGTGCTGATTGTGTAGCAGGCTGTAAAGCATTGTTGTCACTCCCAAGTTGTTCTGCAGCAAGGAGTGATGATGAGATGTCCCAGGGACACAAATCCAGCATTAAGTGATAGAAACAAAATGTTAAATAAACACATGGAAGTTTTGGAAGTTTGCTTGAATCATTTATAGACTCTGATCGGACATCAACTGACAAGGATGGGGGTCACATTGCAGGTGCCGGTGCACACCGAAAGGCAACTTAGTTCTGAAAGTTCTGCCAACAGCTTGTGTTCAACTAATACAACTGCTACGTGGACTGTCAGGAAGATAAGTGAAAGTCCTTGCTTTAGCAATATCTGCAAGTACAAGATAGCCGGAGTATTGCATCCCAATGAGTTGTAATTCTGCTCTTGGCAGACGTGAATAACCTCTTCAATTTGGCACCGTCAGCCTGCACAGATGAACATTTTTGAGATGACAGGATTATTTCAGATACCAAAGGCAATAAGCCTTGTTTAATAATCTGCTTTTAGGAACTGCCCCAGTACATTAACAACAATAACAACAACTTGCATTTATCTTCTCAATTGAACCAGCAACATTACCAGTAAGAAGCCCAGGTATATTCACTTCACTTTCTTCCATTCTTTTGCTGAGGCATTTAATCTTAGTTTGCAGCCACCCTACAATAACAGAACAACTCGCATTTATAAAACATGTTTCACGCAGGATAATGTCTCGGAGCATTGTACAGTGGCAGGGTTGGATGCCAAGCGATGGCGAAGGGAGAGGAGGTGACCCGAGGCATGGTTGAAAGATAAATATTTGAGTGAGATTCAAAGGTAAAGAATGGGGCGAGGCAGAGGGATTGAAGCAAGGAGTTCCATAGGTTAGGGGCATAGCGACTCAAGGCACAGCCACCAATAGTGGAGCAAAGGTATTGGGGAAAAGCTACGATCAAGAATTCCGACAAATTATGTAGCAAATTGGAAACTAAGCCCATCTGCGACCACAAAATTGTCCTGCACATTGGATCATCAATATGCTGCACCACACCACATACTCTCATACTCTGTTTCAATAGGATAAACTCTTCAGCTGCTTGCATTTGTTTTAATCTAACAAAGCAAATCTGTTTAATCCTCAGGTCCGTTAATCAATGAACAGCGTTCATTGTAACACCATAATCACTCAAATATTAAAGAGGCTAATCAGAACCACAGCTGTTCAAGATTCAACATTAAGAGGTTTGATTTTAAATTTCGACTTTATTCACTGATCATCGTCGCTTTGTTTACATGACTGACTCAGAAATTTGTCTTTTGTACAAATTCATCTTAGTGTGGAGCACTGAACTGCGGCTAACAAAATTTTATTTCCCTCCTGAACGTACAGTTTACTTGGGGCTATGACTTCAAAGCCAAAGTACAAAAAGCAGAAGAAAAGGCGGATGTCAGATGACATAGATTTGACATGATCAAACCACCATTGTTAGATTATTAACATTGGAATGCAAACACTGGCACAGCAGTCTGCAGGATCAAAGAACAAATCCTGCCACTTTAGGAGATAAGGAAAAAAGCTCTAACCAGAGAGGTCAACAACACAAGAGAAAACAACTTCATACTTGTAACAAAACCCTCTGGAGATTGACAATAACTGAAAGCATGCTCCATAGCTCATGTGCAAACACAACTGTCTGTCTGCATGAATTCCTCGCCCCTGCCCCCTCACCCCACCGAATCATCCAAGATTTCAAGATTTAAGGTGCTCAAATATTTTTCAGGGTACATTTTATTTGGTGCATATGTGTGCAGTGTGCATATAGCCAAAAAAAGGTAAGAACCACGAAAAATTAGGACCAAGTTTGCCTGCAAATACACAGTCACTACACTTTACAGTAACTCTTGTGGATTAGGACTAAAGTGCTTCACAAGAGTTATTGTAAAGTGTAGTGGCTGTATATTTGCAGGCAAACTTGGTCCTAATTTTTCGTGGTTCTTATCTTTTTTGGCAAGTGAAAAATTGATTCAGGATTTAATTACTGTAAATTACATTAAGAAATACCACAATTTAGACAGCACTGACAGCAAACCAAAATGATGGCTTCAGCCAAAACCCTCAAAACCCACTCTGTGAAGGCAGTGCTCATAACTGGCTCTCACACTGGGGTACTCACATTCATTTAGGGAGGTTCTAGGAACAAGTAGTGATTTTTACAGACAGAAATAAAATGTACAGCTGCATATTTTCAAAGCCTTTTTGTTGTCTCACTCTGAATTTTAACTGCAAATTTAGCATAATTAATTGTTCATTTCTCGGTAAGTCAAACGTTGTGAGACTTGACACAGTAGGTCATGGAATGAAGATAACTTAAAACAAACAGTTTTAGCACAAATAGGTTGTTTCCCTGGAGTGAACACTTCAAAGATGTTATCAAGGTCATTCTTCACTGTACAATGAGTGCAACAATTGAACTCAGGCAGATCTGTCAGCTGAACTCGTGGCTACATGATTAGCAGATGTCTTTCCAAAGCGAATGTCACATTAAATCTACCCGAAGTGTTTCTGTCAATTGTCACTTAAGATCTACAAGTTCATTTTGCTCTCAACTTGCATATTATTTGTGGCCACCACACTGTCTTCTGCTCTGGGTTTTTTTTTCAATTAAGTCCAATATAAAATAGGTTTCTTTTGGCAGAGCACATTTTGTAGTGCTCATAATGTTGTCTTTTTGCTGCTTGGTGCAAAAAGATTTACTCTGTGTCTACTCAGCCCCGATTCCCTTTGGGAACTAAAGTGTACAGAAAGAAACCTCTCCTTCGAACATACATCATTTCCTTATTTTGATGATACACAATGTAAACTACAATTATAAAATAACCTTTGCATTTGATAAATCTTTCATATCAGGAGGATGTCTCGAATCACTTTACAGGACTCACAGTGAAGTGTAGTGACTGTGTATTTTGCAGGTGAGTGTGACAGTCAATTTGTGCAAAGCAATGTCCCACTGTCACGACCAATGACCAATTTTATCTGAAGGATTCCTGACCAGAAACCAGGAGAAACTCCCTTCTCTTTTCAAATGGTGACATGGGATCTTCAATGTCCACTTGAACTTGCAGGTAGGACCTTAGTTTAAAGTCTCATCCAATATACAGCATCTCCCATTACGAAGCATACTCTTAGTACTCTACAGGCTCTCTGCAAAAACAATAAAATTACATTATAGAGCGCCTTTCACGTCGGGAGGACTTCCCAAGGCGCTGGATAGTCAGGGGTCAGGACCCAAGCATGGGGGAGGGGTGGGGGAGGGGTGAGGGAAGGCAGAGAGGTGGGAAGACGACCAAAGGCATGATCAAAGAGGAGGTTCTTAAGACTGGCCTTGAAGGAGGCAAGGGAGGAAGCGAGGCGAAGGGACTGTGGGAAAGCCCGGCCACCGATGGTAGGGTGAGTCGGGCAGGAGACATGGAGCAGGCCGGAGCCCGCTGAACGGAGGGAGCGGGCAGATTGGTAGGGAGTCAGCAGGTCAGAGAGGTAGGAGGGGGCAAGGCTATGGATGGCCTTGAAAGTGAGGACGAGGATCTTGAAATCGATCCTCTGGGGGATGGGGAGTCAGTGGAGTCGGGCGAGGGTGGAAGAGATAGGGTCACGGAGCCTGGTGCGTGAGAGTACACGAGCTGCAGTTCTACTGTATCGCTGGCTGTACGTCTATGAACATGACTCCATAAGTAGATCACGATCTGGTTCTATTAAAAACAATAAACTTTAAAATACTGTATACTCATAAAATGTGTAAAACACAAACACAAAAAAGATCAATCTCTTAAAATGTGGTTCCGATCTACTCTATCTTTTGCTGTGAGTGTCTGAGTGTGTGAGTGTGTGTGTGAGTGTATTGTGGAAGGGGGTACATGTGCATTGCACGTGTGTACTTACATTGGAAAAGATAATTTCAGGTGATATATTTTTCACTTGCCAAAAAAAGAAACCACAA